GCGGGGCGGCTGCCTGCTTGCGCCCGCGGCCGGGGCAGGGAGCTCCCGGGGGGTCGTTCTTCTACCCTGCGGGAAGCGCGGGCTGAGTTCAGCTCATCCGTCGTCTCTCGTCTAGAATAAAGCGTGAGACAGCTGAGTCCTCGCGATCCGCCTTGGTCCTTGTAGCTTCTCAGAGTTCGATTTTCCAATTGTAAGAGATGCTGAATTTAATTGTTCTGTGCAACCTTAGGAAAAAAAAAACCGCCCCAAAACATAGTTCAGCTGGAAATGAATAACCGGGCTGAAAGAGGAAGGTGGGGTTTCCTTGGGAGGCTGAAGAGGACGTCTCTTCATCTGTTTTTCAGACAAGGAGGAAACGACGTGTGAACCGTCCTCCTCAACAATTGCAGAAGAGCCTGAGCCCGTTTCGTGTGTCCTGCAAGGAGATGACATCCAGGCGCTTGCAATTAAGGTGGAGGACCTGGAGAAAGTATGTATTTTTACTGACAGAAACAGCTACCTTACCTGAAACTCTCCTTCTATTTTGCGTGTTTAACAGAGGATCCCGTCCGTTTACTTGGACCCGCTCTTGGAGTTCAGTTCTCATTCCATTTGTCTGTACTGCTTCTTGTCAGATCATCATTTCCAACTTTCTAGCCTAATAAGACGTATAAGTTGTTTAGTAGCTATTAGCACTTCCCTTCCAAAACTTGCATCAGACTGTGTGACTGGTGGCATTTGACACCAAGTGACACAGCAGAAAACTGTCGGGAAAGTGATTTAAAACTCTTTTCCCTGCCCCAGTTATGAAGCAGAGTCCAGAAGGGTAAGACAGTAGCTAAGCTGGTACCTCCGCAGTCATGTAACGTGCCTCTTAGGGGAGGAACAGCCTGTACCGATATGACTTCTCTGCGTATCCTAGAAGGCTCAGAAGGAATGAAGGTGAGTCAGCATGTACCTAATTGCCTTGTGACTGTTTACTTTCTGAAGCTCCATGCTCCACGCCTTCCCCATGATGCTGGGAGAGTTCCAGTTAGGAGGAAATACCTTGTTCGAAAACATCGACCCAAAGAGACAAAGAAGAAGTCACGTTTCCTCGTAGCGTATCCTGCTTTCCCAAAGGCACCCAGGGAACCGCTGAGTTTTTCTGGTAGGGTTAGACTTCACATCTTTGACTTTTGGTTTTCCCAAGCCTGGCTTTATTGACCTGACTCTGGGATCGTTTGGGGGTTTTTTTTTGTGTTGTAGGACCAGGACTGTTTGATGGCTGTGGAGAGATTCTCCCCCATCACATTTTGGGAAGTCTCCAGGAGTTCAAGATGGAAGCCTTGGCCAGAGGAAACACTCAGGTTGGTTTGTAAAGTTACGAAAATGCTGCTGCGCGGCACTTTTCTAGAGGTGGAGTGCAGCGCCTACAGTACCTTTCGATGCTTTTCAGCACCTATCAGGAACAGGTCAGGCCTGAGGTGTGGTTTTCCCAGCCTCGTCATGCTCTGCGGGGAGGGCCTGCCTTCAGAGAAACTGCACCAGCAGGTTTTGCAGTCCTGTGTGCAGGAGGAGGTCACAGGGGGAAGAATTGCAGAGTCTTCCTCTCCCATATGTGCTTCTGCTGATGGCGTCAGGCTCGCAAGGGAAGAGCTGGTGTTGCAGCAATGCCTTTGCTCGAGTCTAATGACTCAGATAAATCCTTCCATTGTTTCTGAGTGTGTTCCTAATGCCCTATTTTTGTTCCTCTCAGAGTGATCAGGTAAAAGTGCTGTCAGTCTGAAGAATTCTTTTCTCCTCCCCTCTCCCATTCTCATTGTGGTGGTAGCGTGTGCATGGAGAGGTTAATCTAACCTTTCCTTTCTCTTCAGATAGTGGATTTTACTGAGGTTTCTCATCAAGATGTTACCGCAGCAGCTTTAAAAGAGGAACATGGAGGAGAGAAGAAGAAAAAGGTTCATCAGACCCCACTAGCAGGGCACAAAGCTCTCCAGAACTGGCACCGTAATATGGCAATCAGGAAAAAGCAGGAGAAGTATCTAGGAGGTGAGCAAAGCTGAGGCCTCGTTCTGTGAAATTCCGTGTGCAGGTGGAGGAGTTTCATGGCACCACAACAAACTGTAATGGTCATAGCTGACCGGGGTTAATCCTGTTGCATGTTCTCGGAGCTCCCCACGCTGCTAGTGCTAGTGGCCATGGGTGCTGTGGGGAGGTGAGCTGGTGGGTCTGGCTGGGGGAAGGACAGTGGATTTGGTGGGGGACAGTGTAAGGGGGTTACACGTGAACAATAGGTAAAGGGTGTGCCCAGAAGTGCAGCACCAATGATTTGACGTTCCTTCTTTATAGAAATTCTTCAGAGGCCGGAGAATGAATTGCTGATGAGCGTCTCAGAGGATTACAGGCAAATCCAGGAAGAACGTGACCTCATTGACCGGAGTCTCCCTGCCCTGCTTCCTGGAAAGGTGAGACCCCCAACTCCTCTGCATCCTGATTGCTCTGTTCTTGTGAAAGAGCCAAGACACTGGTGTTATGAGTAACACCTCTGAAGGTCTGTCATTAGATATTTATCAAAGTCACTCCAAGTCCTAGTGTGCAAGCAGAGCTTTCAGTGACTTTAAAAATAAAACCATGAACTGTGCTATCAGTACTAGTCAGAGGAAGGTGGTGGTGTGCTTTGGCTCCTTGCTAACCAACTGCCGTACATGGGCAAATGCCATTTCTTGATTATCACCAAAGACCGTCATGCACTGGGAAGTGGCATGGGGACATGCTGCAATTGCTGTTCCAGGGACAGAAAGATCTGATAGCTTCAGGCTTGAATTTTAGTGATTGCCACGGAGAAGGGAGTATGGGTAAGTCAGGAGGATTATGGGAGTATCCTATGTTAAAAATATTTTTTTACATTTATAGCACTATCAATTTACATTTGTGTGAGGCATTATTTTAATAGAATTCAACCTTCATGTAGCACTAGCTACAGGAAAGTCTTCTTTTGTCTTTGACAGCAGCCTGATAAAAATTTTGGCTTGCTCTGCAGAAAGTGACAATTTATAGACTTTTAAAATATCCGTATAAGCAGAGTTAGACCCCTCCTTCTTTTTAGCTTCTAGTCCCTGTGAAAATAGCAGGCAGCCGTACGCCTCTGAAAGCGTCAGCAGGAGCCTTGTTTTCCACCCTAGGGCTACCGAAGAGGAAGCGAGTTCTGGAGCCAGCCCGAGCGTATTGGAGATGAACTCACTGGCCTGACGATGACACTGACTCAGAGAGAACGTGGCTACCCAGAGCCAGTTACTCACGTGGGGAAACCCCACACTGTCCGGATGGAAACTGGTAAGGGAACGTCACGGAGAGGTGATTCCACAGAAATGGGGTACAAGTGTGGAGGGAGCAGCAGAAAGAAATAGCGACTCCTGCGAGTACGGAGGCTCACACTATAGTTGTCCTTTCTGGCAGCTGCAGCACAAGCTACTTCCCAGTCATCTGTTGGACCTCCTCTTTAAAAGCACCATGAGACCAACTTTTGACAGAGAGTGAAATTAATAGGCATGTGGGTATGTAGGCAGTGAGCTCTTGTATGGGTCTTTCCACAGGTCTGAAGCCTCCGAAGAAGATCCCTTTCCATCTAACCTGGGATAAGAGTCTTTTCCTGAAGCATCGACTGCAGGAGCTAAAATCTGTCCTAGAGGAGCTAGATTTTTATAAGCCGGTAAGACTAGAGGAGCGAGGGCATTCTTTGCATAGAATCGTAGAATAATTTGGGTTGGAAGGGACCTCTAAAGGTCATCTAGTCCAACCCCCCTGCCGTGGGCAGGGACATCTTCAA